AAAAAAAAATAAAAACAAAAAATATATCCATGTGTACATTAAGTACAGAAAACCAAGTTTTCTAAACGAAAACTTGGCAATTAATGCGGTCTGGATGACAAAAATGTTGGTGCAATGCTTTAGAATTTTGTTTCTTTTGCACCAACTATAATAGACAGCAATATTAAGTTGCCATAAAATTTAAAACTTGATACAATGACTATAAAAAAATCCTTTGTACTTTTTTTTCTACTGATGACATTACATTTTTCATAGAACAGTGAAGAAAAAATTCTTTTCACATTATGTTATTTATTTTTGATATTATAATAGGACGTTCTTTAATTATGTTTTTTTTTCTGTATTTGACACGCATTTTTTATTTTTTAATGAAATTTATAACACATTTTGATCAAGTTTTATTTTAGCGCGAAAAAAAGCAAACAAAGCAAAAGCACAAAAAGCAATTTTTCAAATCTCTGATTTTTTCCTTTCTTATTACATAATCGCAAGGTCGATGTGATTAAATTTTTTATTGGATTAAAATTTTCTTCAAAAAACAAATCATCGTCACAGAGTGCATACCCTAGTAGAAGGAAATTTTGCTTATACATAGTACCAAAAATTGTATTGTGTGTTGTCTAATTAATTTTATCTTGTTTTAACAACTGATTTTTATTTTAACCAGGCGGCAAAAGACAAAAATTCTTTAAATTCACAGCACCATAATAAGTTATGAAAATTTTCAGACACCGTGTATACGAAAGCGCATACTTTTAGGGTTATCGTGATCTAAATTCATTATACAGAATGTTTACTAAACATGCGCAAAAAATTTTAATACCCGTTCAACGTAACAATATGAAACTACACTAATGTTGTCAAATACCTCCACAAATAAAAATTCCTTGGTTTATTTTAAGATTTTTTTGTCCTTGGATGATTTTACGAAAGACGCTTTTTTTGAAGATACAAAAACCTTTGGAAAAAAAACAATACTTTATTAATTCATCGCAAAGGTTCTTAATCTACAAGTATTCTTGAAAAAAACTGCCGTACATAAAAAATACAAACCAGAACCACCGTCGGGGGCGATTAGTGTAGTCCAGACAATGGGAGGAGTCTAGTCAAATCCATTCCAGTCAAGTCGGAATTATTCTGTACATAATCGCTGTCGTGTAAATTGGAGTTAGTAAGAAATACATTGTTGAGTTTTACCCCCGCCGATTTTAATACCCGTTCAACGTAACAATAGAAACTACACAAATGTTGTCAAATATCTCCACAAATAAAAATCCAGTGGATGAATTTAAGTCTATTGAAATGTGCAGGCCAACGTAGTTTTACTTTTACAGGACAAAAAAATCTTACAATAATAATGCAATAAAGAATAATAATAGTATAATAAAATTCTACTGTTTTATTTTTTGTGTATCTTATTTTCTTATTTTTTATAGTCTTTTGTAAGGATGAATATTGAATATATCCTCTTAATTTTGTTAATAGTTAAAGTAACATTAACATTAATAATAATCATTGTGTAACTGTGTTTACAGAAACTCTGAGAAACAAGGGGAACGGTTCCTAACAATCCATGAAATAAAATTATTCAGACATTTTTTTTTAGTTTAATTTATATATAGAGATTCTAGATAAAACTCCGCTTACATCTTGAGAACGCATAGAGATATTGAAATTATATAAATATCATTGTTTTTAGCTTGAAAAGGGAAACTTAACTTGGTACATCGCAAATATGACGTTGCAGACCCTACTGACAGTGGCGGCTCGTGCCCTTTTGAAATGGGGGGACACAATTTGATTGATCAGTTAAATATGAAGATATAAAACAGGTGTGGAACGAAATTGTGTGACGGAAATAAATACAAAAGTACATTCAATAAAAATAAAAAAGAATTTGTCCACATATTACCTTTTTGCCTTCGGTCAAAATTTTACGTTGATGGCATCTACGAGTGCAGCCGTAAAATCAATCAAACCTCGAAATATACCTGGATTTTGTGGTTCCTTACTTTCATCATGTCCACGTAAAGCAAGTTCAAACACTCCACAAGATTGTATGCACTTTATTATCAATCGGCGTAATATATGGCGATTTTTGTCGATCCTTGCGTTATGTGCCCGAATATTATTAATATAGGCGGTGTTTAGTTGTTTTCGAATGGCCGTATTACCGAGAAGGTTATCTAAGAATATTTATCATACCTGTTTTACGTCTATCTCGCGCAGCATGAAAATTAAAACCAGCGATTGAGTTACTCCTGCCGAGCACTGTCAGAACGGGACCGCAATCCCATTGCCTGAAATAGCTAGGACGTGTGGTTTCTATGGCAACGGTGTAAACAAAAAGTTTAAATCAGCTATGATTCCAGTGTCTGTGTTTCTGTCAGCAGTAACATATCATATATCCAAGACACACATCTTTAGATGCAAATGGATGCAAATTTTGATACATTTTATACAAGTGGAGCAATATAAAAACATTAGTTTTGATAATTACGTCACAAATTTCCGAATAATTTTTTAAATAATGAAAATTACTATTTTGCTATTGTAGACGTTGTAATTTTGGGAGGCCACGTGCCCTTGTACCCTCCGGCACCAGCCGTCCCTGCCTACTGATTTTGATCAGCTCGCAGCCCAAATTTAACGTCTTTAGATTTATTGCTGTGGCGATAGGTACATAAAAGATTTGACGTGGAAGATTATATTCATAACTCTTATTTTTTTATCGTCGGAAAATGAAATAAAAACCTATCAATGTACACGTCACAGTTAAGCTTCCGCCGTCAAATTAAAAACAATGGCGTTTAACGAATTTCAATATCTCTATCCGTTCTCAAAATATTATCGAAGTTTTATCTGGGACACCTGTATAATTTCTTTGTTAACGTCATGAATTTTCCGCAGGGAACGAATAACTAAATTTTAATTAATGTTCAGTAATCCCTAGATCATTTTTAATGGCCTACCAAAATTTAATTGTTCTGTTGTGTAATCTTCGGCATATATTGTAAAATTTAATATCCCAAACTTAAAACTTTTCTCAGTGTACGTACTATACGTGAGTAATTCTAGAGACAAACACACAGCACACAGGCAGAAGCAACAAACCATCTGTCATTCGTGAAATTCCCTCTATATTTGAATTAAAATACTTTTTATTAGAGTCATATTTTGTTCTTCACGTGTCATGTTGTCACAACAGGTGGTTTACGGAGCAAGTTAAAGGATAAACCAAGTTTAAATTAACGCAGCACATATATGTAACCATTACATTGCAACCAAACTTTGAGCAACTCTTCACGTAAGAAGTCGAAGAAGTTTCAGACACTTATTTATGAGATTTTCCATTTTTTTAAGTAACAGTTTTATCATTATTAAAATTAAAATATTTTTTGGAAGAATATGTATGTCGATCTGTATTTATTTGAAAGTACACACAATGTGTGATATTAATTAATATGTATTACCTAGCACCAAACAGTTTAGTCACCATATTAGAGCTGTTATGAGCAATAAACAAAAATCCTTGTCTTTCAAGATATGCATGAGTCACCGAAAAGTGTATATTTAATTTTATTACCTATTTATATTTAAAAGTATTACTTACTCTGAACAATACTTAATCTAACGTAATTTAAGTAAATAGTTCGTTTATTTTTATAAGATTATTAAACGTATAATATAAAAAATACATATAAGAACTAACGTTATAACGCATAATTCTGATATGAAAGGCAGTTTTAAAATGTCAAAAAATGTACCCACTATGTTAATAAGGCGGCAAATAATTAATAACAAAAGAAATTCCATAGCCACCCTTCATACCAGAATCATTTATGGTCAGGTTGTATTTTATTTAACGATGCTAAAGATCTAATATTGGTGCAAAGGAAATGCCCGCAAAACTAACACAAAATTTCACATAATTAGATCATATTTTTATATTCCAGAAAAATTTTCAAGTAAATATAATATTGCAAGTTTTTCGCAACCTGTGTCTAATTTTAATCGTTGTCATTTCACTTTAGTGATCTTGGATGCTTTTCCCAGTAAACAAAAAAAGAATTCTCGTAAATTTGCGTCAACATCTCCATACCTAGAATTAATAAACATTCCTTGCATTCACTACAATTAATTAAGTATGCGAACCCAAACTTCGAATTCTTAGTAAAACAAATTTATGCAAGTCATAAAGTTTTGCGGTTTTCCCTATTTACATAACAATTAAGAAAATTTAAACTTCCAAAAATTACCTCGCGCTCGCCTCGGCGGGAAACCGTTCCGCAACGGCAAACCTCGACGGCGCACTTCAGCACGTGGTGCAATAAACGCAACGTTAGACGTAAGCGCAACGCGCCGCACTCTGGAGATTTCTTCACGATCTCCAGGTGTTGGAGCACCCTCGGAGTGATCACATACCCTTATGTGTGTAACATAACCGTATGGCTGGCAGTGACGGCGTCGTGACACTATGACAGGGATGCGACACGCTATAAACGGCCAAATCTGGTTCGCGCTTATCAAAAATCAGACACCGGACTAGAATCGTGCGTATATTTAGTTTTATTGATCGCACACAGGTGACCTTGAATTTGGTTAAAGAGGAGGTTGCGTTGCAGAAAGTGTCCTGCACTGCCCTTGCGCGGAGACCTTGAACATTTCGCTATAACTGGGCCCGGGAAAATCGATGCCATTGGGAAAGTTAGCGGGTAAATGATGCAACTGAATGTGAAATGAGAAATGACGTAAACCGATGGAAATTCGTACTGTGAGGAAAGACGTGCGGCGCGCTGTGTTAGACAGAGGAGCGCTTTAAGTCACCACGTGTTGGGTTTATGTTTTAGTGCAACACACAATCAACAAGTTGGCAAGGAAAGGGAAATCATACTTTTAAAACTAACTAGAGGAAAATATAACTGCGACTAAATTGTACATTTCCTGTTCTAGAAATAGAGTACTTTGTATGCAGTTGTTGCATGAGTAAACAGGCGCGGTTGTGAGTAATTGCATGTATTAAATTTTACGCTTAAAAACTAATTTAAATTACAACATGTGATTTTTTGTGAACTCCGGTGCTCCCTCATCTTGCATCAAATACGGCCACTGTAATTATTGTTAAGAAAAATCAATAACTATTAATAACTAAATACGTCGAATCAATTAAATTATTAATAAAAGGATACATCTTTTTGTTCTCTTCTTGTACATGATACGATATCCACATTCTCTGCATCTTATGGGATCTCTTGGTCTAATTTCATTTTCGTTGTGGCATTCTGTAAATTAGTGTACTTACTATTAGTTCTACAAGTCTAGTTTTAATTAATAAAGTCTAAAATTACTGTTTTATTTGTTTAAAATACAACAAAAACACCGACATAACCTCACATTTTAACTCACCTCCACAAATATAAACCATGGGAGTTTTGGTGGCTCCCGACTCCTTGCTTGAAGGTTCTGACATAATTAAATTAAATATAGCGTTCTTCTGTTAAATGCTAAAACAAATTGATATAGGTTATCACAAGCTCACACAAACACAACGGGTCATTTACGGACACATGTACGGACGATTGACAATTGAACAGAACGACATACGTAAGAAAAGAAATACACTAGGAAAATCGCATGTCAGTCTGTTTTGTACTTGGTGGTTGCTAGTATCCAATGGTTGGCTATCTTGTACGTTCTATTTTGAAACATACCACTAAAATATGAATTTCTAATAAGCAAGTGTAAGTTATGTTTGTTCATTATTAGCAAATATAATAACTTATTATTAATCTGTTAATTGTAATTAATTGTAACCAGTAATTATTTTTCAAATGTTTTCCATTTATTAGAATTATGTTAAACACGTACCTTTTGAAATGAAAACAACGATTGAAGTGGCAAAAATATGGTTATAAGTATTGGAATAATAGTTAAAACCATGGAGGAAGGAATATATATATTCCTTCCTCCATGGTTAAAACCACCGGACAAAATTTTGGCTGATTGTTGTTGAGTGAAGCCAAATTACGACAAAAAAAAAAAAAATGAATCTCCCTTTACAAAAGAAAAGTTACTAAAACTAGGTGATTATATGGGTGAAGTGGTTAAATGATTTTCTTCATACATACGTTAACGTTTTGATTAATAGGGTATTGTGCTAGTTTTTTTAATGTTTTTTAGAAATATTGATTCAGAAATTTTTAAAACAGACAGCTCTGTTTACTTTTTCATATAATTATATTCTTATAACTTATTTATACATGCTTAATTACAAGGAGCCTCATACCTAAAAATTAAAAACGCAACCAACAATACAATTTCATAACTGCTTGATAGGTCAGTAATTTTTTTCAAGTAAAACTTAAAACAGCTGTTTGGTTTTGATTATTTTGATGTGTCCCGGTTTTATTGTCTCGCAATGTATTTTTTTTTTTTAGTTACAACAAAACAGATTTATTTTTTCTGGTGGTATGAACTAACTATATATTAAAGATGGTTTTGAAATTATATTTCTGGTTGTGTCTTGAATGTTTTAGACTTTTTTTCACTAATGAAACTTAAAATGTGTTTAAAATGGTAAATTTATATAAGAAAATATCGATTTTCATAATCTTTAATAATTGCAAAATCCATATTTCCTTGCAAAAATGTATTATTTTAACCTGTTTTAAGTTTCTTGTTGTGAAAAGATGGCCATGTATATTAAGAAAAAAGGGTAAAATATAAGCCCCACCCACCCGCCCCATCTCAATTCTGATGATGTTTTTTTATTCGTCGTAAGCCGCAGGGCGGAGCTTAATTGCAAAATCCATGTTTGTCTAAAAAATTTACCATTTCAAACATGTCTTAAGTTTCTTGTAATACAAGTTTTTGAGTATTTTGTTATTCAAAAAATACTATGCTATACCCATGCCTGCCCTGATCTAAATATTAATGAAGTTTTCATTCGTTGCCCGATCAAAGGGCGGCACCTAATTGCAAAATTCATATTTCCCTACAATAATTTACCATTTTAAATATGTTTTAAGTTTCTTGTTGTGAAAAGATCACCATGTATATTAAAAAAAAATAAGCCCCGCCCACCCACCCTATCTCAATTCTGATGATTTTTTTTATTCTTCCTCACCCGGGGGGTGGAGCTTAACTGCAAAATCCATAATTGTCTAAAAAATTTACTATTTTAAACACGTCTTAAGTTTCTTGTAAGACATGTTCTTGAGTATCCTGTTATTCAAAGAATACTATGCTATACCCGTACTTGCCCTGATATAAATAGTAAGAAGTTTTCATTCGTTGCTAGACCGAGGAGGGGCGCCTAATTTCAAATCCATATTTTCCCACAAAAATTCACTATTTTAAACATGTTTTGAGTTTCTAAGAATAGAAAAAATCATCAGAATTAAGATGGGGTGGGTGGGCGGGGTTTATATTTTACCTTTTTTATTGTTATTTGGCTGCCTACATTTGGCGCTCTCTACGAGAAATTAAAAACATGTTTTTGAGTATCGTTTTGTTCAAGGAATATAATGTATTTTAAGAAAAAATAAAGCCGAAGATTAGGCGACACCCAGACCCCCCTCCCATCTCAATTCTCAATTGTGATGGATTTTTCATTCGTTGTCAGATCGAAGGGCGGGGCTTAATTGCAAGATCGCTATTTGTCTACAAGAATTTACCATTTTAAACATGTTTTAAGTTTCTTGTTCTGAAAATAAGACGACAACGTATATTAAGAAAAAAGGCAAAATATAAGCCCCGCCCACCCGCCCTCTCTCAATTGTGATGATTTTTAAATAATCGTCGAGAACCAAAGGAGCGGAATTTAAATGCAAAGTTCTTATTATTTCTCTCTCTACAAGAAATTACCATGTAAGACATCTTTTGAGTATCGTGTTATTCAAAGGATGCTATGCATATTAAGAAAAAATTAAAGCCAAAGATTAAGTCCCACCCATAACTGCCCTGATCTAAATAGTAATGAAGTTTTCATTCGTTGGCAGACCTAGGGGTGGAGCCTAATTGCAAATCCATATTTCCTTACAAAAATTTACTATTTTAAACATGTTTCAAGTTTCTAAAAATAAAAAAATCATTACAATTGAAATGGGGTGGGTGGGCGGGGTTTATATTTTGCCTTTTTTTTTAATATACATACATGGTATTTTTTGGACAACACGATGCTCGAAAACATGTTTTTAATTTCTTGTAAAGAAATAAGTATTTTGCAGTTAAGCTGAGCCCCTTTGATTCAGGGCGAATGAAAAAAATCATCACAATTGAGATAGGGCGGGTGGGTGGACTTACATTTGGCCTTTTTGTTTTAAATGTGTAGACTTCTTTTCACAACATGAAACTTAAAACATGTTTAAAATGGAAAATTTGTATAAAGAAATATCGATTTTGCAATTAGGCTTCGCCCCATTTTAACCATGTTTTAAATTTGTTGTTATGAAAAGATGGTTATGTATATTAAGAAAAAAAAAGGCAAAATATTAGGAAGTATTGTAATGAAGTCCATCGGCCGACTCTCTACTTTTACATTTTCTCGACCTTTCATGACCTCTACAGTACGAAGAAATGGGTCCACCGTTTCCGTCTGTCTGTCTGTGTGTCGTCCCGTTTTTTTTGTGTGTTGTTGCAGAGTGATTTTTCTGTAAGTATTCTCTGGCTGTGCGAGTAAGTTGTCGTTGTCACCCTTTGGTGCTTGGTAACCGAGGCGGACCCCCCCCCCCCCTCCCCCCCCTTAACGCCGCCACTGATTATAAGCTATAGTTCTTTATAAATTTAAAAATCGTCTATATTATCTTCCGCTGACAAAATTGCAGCAAAACTAGACAGCCTGATCCAGTGAGAACAAAAATCCGATAATGCACATAAAGATTCACATGAGAACGGCAGGGAGAGAAATTCTTTTGTGGCCTCATCACTTCGCCGCCGTCACGCGATCCCCTGCTTTTATTTCGAGAATAAATGTTCAAATTCCAGCTGTGAAATAGTTAGTCATTCGGATATAAGAACATAACATATTAATATAATTCAAAATAAAGAAAAACCACATTTCCCGTTTTCTGGTCCATGATGACATTAATTTAACTGATGACAATTTCCAAGGTGTTCAAAATGAATTTAAGACTAGTTTAAATGCCATAAATGTTTTTTTTTTAATAATATATATCTGCTGTGAAAAGTTAAAAAGTATGGGTATTGTCATTACAATACTCATACAAATAAAAACATTTAGAACTTTACGATAGAACATAAAAAAAATGGGTTAAGTCAGAATACTGAATTTCCTACCATGTGTTTTATGAATATTTACTTGACAGTCGTTAAATTGCACTAGGCCTATAAACTATAAATATTAAAAATCTTAACATGCAATAAAAAAGATAACACCTGCTGACAAATAGTCACGCAATTCAGACTAGAGCATCATTAATAAAGTAGTCTTATAAATTACGGTCATTGGAGAGGGACCGTGACATCAAATGCGATTCATTTTTTGTTTAAACAATTGGTTTAGTGATATTCTCATTAGTCATTAATCAAGAAGTGACGTTGACGCCCAGAAATAGGACACGACATTTTTTTATTTTACCTACGTTATGGAATGATTTTTCTAATTTTTAATTTTTCAAATACGATTCTACGGCGTTGTTTTTTCTCTCAACGATAAATTTTAAATTCAAGACACCATAAAAAATTAAATTACTATTGGTGCTTTATTAAAAAATTAAATCGTTTACACAAAAATGGTGGAGGCGCCGGGTATAACCCATACAGATCATGACACAGTATTAAGACGAAGATGATGATACTGTAAATCATATTTAAACAATTTAATTATTATGTTTATCCTGAAACTAATAAAAATATAGGTATTAAAAAGGAAACATTATTTTTAAATATTTACACTTACTAATTCAATGAGTATATTTTTTTTGGCCTTGCATCTCGAAAACAAACGAAGCAAAACAAATTTTTTGACGAATAGTTAGAACACAACTTCTTGTACCCCTAAACCTGATTTCACATGATTTGTACCATTGATTTTCAAGAACCGTTTCTTTGGTGCAATTAAACTCTGGATATAGGTCAAATCTTTAAACAACTCGTAATTTTCTTATTTTCTTCATTTACGTTAATTATTACTTTTTATATAAAATTTTCCGATTGTCCTTTCGCTGTTTGATTTTTTTTAATGTTACATTCTAAGCTTGTCAAAATAGAATTCAATGGCCATTTTATAACAAATACAATAAGTAAGTCGGTAAAATAGAAAAAGGAAGTGGGCGGGGCTGAGTTTAGCTTTTTTCTACAGAATCTTATAAGTAAGCAGTAGCCTCGCCCACTTAAGTGACTTATCTTATTATTGTTCAGTCTTATTGACCCACCCTCTATTTAATTAGAAGGTATGTTATCTGCCAAAACCAGTCTTATCTTACCAATTAATAGGCCCGCCCACCCAATCTCTATTTTCTTAGAGGGTACATCATTTGCCAAAATCCATCTTATCTTAGCAAGTCCTAACCCCGTCTACCTACCCACGCTCTTCTCATTCTAAAGACTAATTTTATTTCTGTTCTGTATG